TCCTCAAATCATTCTGGAAGAAATGTCAGCTGTTTACGGGGATTCTTGCCCTGGAAAAGCCACGGTTTACAAGTGGCATTGTCTTTTCAAACAAGGTAAGAATTCGATTAAAGACGACCCTCGCTCTGGGCAGCCTGTCGAGTCAACATCGGTCGAAATCGTGGAAAATGTGGAGGAATTAATTTTGGAAGATGCCTGTTTGAAGAAGAAGCAACTTGCAGTGATAGTTGCAGTATCTTTTGCAACCGTTTTGAACATTCTTCCTTAACATCTTGGCATGTCAAAAGTCAGCGCAAGATGGGCGCCGAGAATGCTGACGCTGCTTCAAAAACAGCAGTGTGTCGAGTGTTCGCACGAGATTTTAAGCCTTTGCGGAGATGACAAAGACCAAATTTTGCATCAAATTGTTACTGGAGATGAAACCTGAGTTCATCATTATAAGCCTGAATCGAATGCAGTGGCATAAAAAAGGTACACCACCAGCCAAGAAATTTAAAGTGTCGCTGTTGATTGATTACAAGCATAATGGTGTGACAATAATGGGAAAATACTTTGCTTGTCTGCTGAAACAATAAAAAACGGCAATAAGGGACAAAAAAAGAGGAAAGTGGAGCAAAGGTGTGTTGCTTTTGCACGACAACGCGCCCGTGCACAAGAGCAGTGTTGTGATGGTTGCCCTTATCAATCGTGGCTTCAGAACGCTCAACTCGGTACAGTCCAGACCTGACTCCGTCCGATTTCTATTTGTTTTCATATATTTTTATGAGGGAATAAATTAATTAATCCGAAGATCTGAGAAATGTATTGAGGTTAAGGGGGAATCTATCAAAAAAGTTCAAGGTCATTCAGTGCTGTTCGAAACTTACTTTCGTTGTACACCCAGAAATTGTTCCTTATCGTAGTTACTCGTCCATTCGGTCGTAAACATGAGGCAAACTGACACTAACACTTACTTCATAGAGTTTACAGACAAGGAATCTGTTGCTAGCGTGTTACAATCACTTCGGAAGTATCAGTATTATTGTGACTAGTGATGACCGGATAAGGGATGCCTGTCTATAAGTTAATAGGACAACACTCGAGAACGTGGAACTTTCATTTAGGGACAGAATAAATGTCAGAGGTCGTCCTTTCGAATGCAGGATACAAGGAACAATTTCTGGGTGCACAACGAAAGTAAGTTTTGAACGGTACTAAATGACCATGAACGACCTTGAAAGCGCAAAGTTATAGGTCAATGAGTTTGTCTCGGAATGAGTTACAGGCCTACCTAAATAAAAACAGTTCCTTCTAAAAAAAAAAAAAAAAAAAACGATGGTAACCTTGAAATTTCCGAAACACGTCCACCTAGAGAAAATTTATGACCACCATAAGATCCCCCCCTACAAAACAGAGTCAGTTTTGTTTGAAACGAGCTATAGTTTGGGAAATAATTACGTGCGAAACTTCAATAGGACTTCAAATTTAATTATGAAATTAACAATGCCAATTTCTATGACATTTTGCAGGTTTCTAAAACAGTTGCAAGTAAAGATCATTTATTTTTTTAGCAATGGTAACGAAAGGAGGTAACACTGCCGCCTTATGTTTCACCTTTATAATGCTACTTTAAAAATCGTTATAATTAAAAGGAACTGTTTTAAACAAATATATGGTTGTTCATGAAAAGTATAAATTAAAATTCATGGTAGTATATTCTTCAGAGGAAGAGAATTTCTCTAATAGTCGTGTCTGTTTTGGTTCAGTTGCATACAAGTTCAAATAGGCTTAGCGGGCCGACGCGACAGAGAGGAACATGTGGTGGACTTTCCATGAAAGGAATTGACTTTGTTGGCAGCTCGTTGAACTTGTCTTAACATACACTATCGTATTATGTATAAAAAGAATATAGCATTCCATTTAAAAAAATTAAATTGACTTTGAAATCTCCCCCATCATACCAGGTACAAAAAAAATATTTACACTACATAACGCCCCCCCCACCCATACGAAACAAGTTTTGTTAAAACAGACACCCTGTATATCCCCCAGACTCCTCTAGCTTTCGAGATATCACTAAAACTGTGTGGTAATTGAATAGTTTAGTGCCTTTTTCTAACTTTGCTTACTTTATTCCAATTTTTTTTCTTGAACCCGGAAATATGTTATCAAGGACGCCATTTTCTTTCTATAAACAATATAACAACCCGACTAGAAATTTCAGTTAGGCAGATATTAGGTCCACATTAGGCTAGCCTAATTTGCCTGTTAGGCCCGCCTGCGGTATGTAACGCGTAATATTCACGACCGCCTAATTGGGAAGGCCGCGTTAGGGCCGCAATAGGCTTTAACGCTCGGAATGAACTTTTCTACTGCCGGGAAAGATACTCTGTTTTCGCCTTATATAGGAATACGCGATTCTTTTGTTTACCAAGGAATACCTCATCAAGACACTGTATAGATTAAATTGTAAAAACTTTTATCTTGTTGAAAGCTCTCATGCAAGGGTACGTCCGACACTGAGACGTCTGTCAACTTAGGCATGCATCATTCCTTCCGAATTAGGACCTAATGCGGTAACGATTAGGCCTGCAGCATTTAGGTATGCCTAATTGTTTCCGCATTAGGCCACCATTCGTCTTTAGGCATGACTAACTGAAATTCTACTTGGGAATATATAAACTTAATAAGCATGCATCATTCCTTCCGAATTAGGACCTAATGCGGTAACGATTAGGCTTGCAGCATTTAGGTATGCCTAATTGTTTCCGCATTAGGCCCACATTCGTCTTTAGGCATGCCTAACTGAAATTCTACTCGGGAATATATAAACTTAAAGTTGAAACTTAACCGATTTCCAAGATGTTAAATTTGAGTATGTACACTACCGGTCAAAAGTTTGGAATCACTAGCCGATTTCTATCAAAATCGAATATACCGGTAAATTTTGGAATGATCCATCGTTAATATATCAGATGTTAACAAGTTGAATTATATTTTAAGAGATTTCAGCATTTTCTTATGTCCATAATACTATTATATAATTCATACACTCAGTTTAAGGCAACGCTCGGAATGAACTTTTCTACTGCCGGGAAAGATTAGAGGGGGAGAAAAAAAAAAAAAAAAAAAAAAAAAAAAAACATTGCCACCATTCTCGTGAACGACGGCGTTGAAACGTGATCAGCAGTTAAAATTTTACATTAATACTTTAAAATGGCAAAAAGAATAGAAATTAGTATTGAAACTCGAAGTGCAATTATCACACTTAGAAAGGAAGGTTATTCTTTGCGGAATATTCCAAGGAAATTGAAAGTGTCATACAAGGGCGTGCAGGGTACAGTAACACGTTTTGCGGATACTGGTAGTTTGAAAGACAAACCACGGTCAGGAAGACTCAAAATCACGTCGAGAGCTGAAGATGTAAGAATAAATATTATTTGCAAACGAAACAGACGACTAACGGCCTCGGAAATTCGTGTAGGACTTAATGATAGTAGACCGAATCCAATATCTCTAACCACGGTGAAAAAGCGACTAAGAGCTGCAGGTTTAAATGGCCGTATAGCAGTCAGGAAACCATTGCTTTCGTCGAAAAATCGTAAAGTGCGGTTGGATTGGGCAAAAAGTCACAAAAATTAGACACCTACGGACTGGAGTAAGGTTCTTTGGACTGACGAATCCAAATTCGAAATATTTGGGTCGCACCGAAGGATATTTGTTCGCCGATCTGTACAAGGAAAAATGTTGCCAGAGTGTATTGTACCTACTGTCAAACATGGTGGTGGTTCAGTTATGGTCTGGGGATGTTTCTCAACGGTTGGAGAGGGAAACCTAATCAAAATAGAAAATACAATGAAAAAGAAGACTATAAACAGATACTCGAGCAGCACGCTCTACCATCAGGTCATCGGTTAATAGGTAGAAATTTTATTATGCAGCAAGATAACGACCTTAAGCACTCATCTAAATTGTGTAAAGGGTTCTTATTGCAAAAAGAAACAGAGCGGGTCTTGAGGAATATGACATGGCCAGCACAATCACCGGATTTGAAGCCTATAGAATTTTTGTGGGAAGAGCTCGAGCGGAATATCCGGTTGCACTGTCCAACATCGAAAGGACACCTTTGGCAACTACTACAAGAAGCATGGAAAAATTTTAAGTTAGAAATACTCGAAAAACTAATTGCCAGGATGCCCAGAATATGTCAGGCTGTCACTAGAAGTAAGGGCGGTTTTTTTTATGAAAAGGCAATTTAAAGAAAAATATCTATTTCTTCGTACAAAAAATAATATAAAATGTAAAATATCCTACTTATAAGTATTTTGACAAATAAAACTTCCTCAATTACTTTGTAGGCGTTCAATTTTTCTTAGAAATATCCTGTTTCTCTTAATTTACGTAGTGTTTCCAAACTTTTGGCCGGTAGTGTATGTATGGCCAGCTGCTTAACGGCTGTAGGGAGATATTAATCTAACCTAATCTAATCCACCGATTAAGTTAGATTCGGTTAGGTTAGGTTAGATAAATATCCTGGCCACCGACAGGTGACCGGCCAATCAGGCAAGAAGATGGTGAGATTTAAATTTCTCCAAAATTAAAGTATTAGGTAAATGTGCAAAGTATTTTGCTTTATTTGTTTGTTTGACGCGTTCGTTAGTGATAATTGTTGCTTAATGGCCACGTTGCGATGGTCAAATGAACCCGTCAATGGTCAATTAATAATGAATGTTGATTATCGCTCACTTACCGACAACCGAATAAGAGATTAAACAAATGAAGCCAAGCGTGACTCAAACATAACGTAAATATGTACTAAGCTCAATGTAAATTTATCCCAAACCTATAGAATATGATATCCAACATTGAAAGTATTTTTGTGTAGATATATCTGAAAAACTAAAGACATCCGGCGGTAACATATACATACATATACAGAAAAGTTGTTTAGAATACTGTCCTTGACAACATAATTCAAGGTCACTGAAATCGGTGTTGGCGACCGTATTCCCAATAATTACCTTATTTTTCCTTGCAATTGGTCTTCGGTGACCTTGAATGATCTTGAACCATAGGCCATTGTACTCGTCTTAAAACGCTCTACGAGATGGTACGTAAAAAAATATATCATTCCGTTAAAAAAAAAATGAAGTTGACCTTCATATGACCTCTACGCTTCCACGTATCACAAAAATATTTACATCAAATTATGTGCCCCTAGACACCACGCAATTTTGGTCTAACACATTTTTTTCTATCACCAATAACGGCCGTGATATTCAGGTGGCCTGTTTTAGGTGTCTAACCCTGTTACATGTATTATATGAGTATAAGTATGCAACAATATGTACATAATTGACCTCTAAAGGTTGAATTTATTTTCCGTCATGCTTCTATAATTTGAAAAATACTATCTCATGTACGAAGCCTCTGTAAGTCGAATCTTCATTTGTTAAACTTGTTTTACTCAAAAACTGCAACAAGACAAAACCTGCATAATTGGAAGATTTTAGCTCTTCTCTTGAGACTCGAGTTACCGAGGATCGACTGTACTATTCCTTTCTGTCTGGAAGTGGTGTATCACAAGTGAATAAATATGCGCTGGCATTGCCGATTAGTCGCAAAAGCATATGTATATCACAGGAAAAACTTTAAATGCCTTTTCCTCAAAGCGTTCCTCCTTCAACTGGTGGAATTAAAATTAAAAAAAAAACTAATCAGCCAATCGATGTGAAATTTGAACACGTCATTCTACATACCATCGGCTCTCGTAGGTGCCATATTTACATTTCTATGTTGAAAATTTCATATTTCATATATCGAAAAACTTAAAAAAAAAAAGAAAAATGGAAAATTTCGATACTTAAACTTTAAATGCACGCCATTTTGTTAAATTTTGACTTACGTGGCTAATTATGATACCTGTGATAGCGGTACTCATACCGATTATAAATCTTTTGATTTAGACGTTTTTTGTGTTGGATGAGTCCGTGACCTGAAATCAATTCCGCCAACGAGACATATTTTTTAAAGGCGCTATCTTTACCTCTAGATATAGCATTAAACAAAAATTAAGAAGTTATTTAAAACATTGTTTTGCATGCTCTAGAAGTGCCTTAACAAATGAAAAAAGTTTGACGTTGTTATTCATTATACTATACCAAAAATATCCTGAATGTTGCCGAAATTTTTGGCGTATTTATTAGAATACCCCTTTAACTCGTAAGATTCTATTCACTGGACTTAAATCCTTCACGTAAAATTGGTTCATTAGCATTTTCTTAATGCTAGTTAATTCTTTGATATTGCAAGAAACTACAAGAAAATCAGCTACATGAAAAGTAAGTATTCTATTACCTTCTGAACTGTTGACATACATACAGTGCTGTTCACTTGAATAGCCTTGAACCCTACATCATAACGGAACCAAGTGCTGAATGACGTCGAGAAAGAATTCGATCTTCTTTCCGTAAATCATGATAGTAACAAGAAAATCCGTCTGGTCCGTCCAGATTGAATTTTTTCTCATCTGAGAAAATTATATTATGCCATTGATGAGTCCAATTCATATGCATTCTAGCAAATTGGAGTCGGGCTTCAATATGCCTTTTCATTAATGCAGGTTTTCTTTGCAATTTACTGCGTTTTATGTATGGAACACTTTGTACGACTCGTCTAATAGTTGAAACTGACGCTTTTGTTCCAACTTCCTGTTTGATCTTCTTAAGGAAAACTGCTGCATTCGAAATTTTACGCAAAATTGATCTCCTTTCCCTCTCCGTTGTAGCTCGTTTCGTTCTCCCTTTATAATTTTTTCCATAATTTTCAGGGTTATTAGAGAAATTATTACCACTCCTATTAATTCTTTTTCCAATTTCTCGGTTCGAATACCCTTCTTCTTTTAAAACTTTAATTTCTCCAATTTCTTCAACAGTCAATGAACTTCCGCGACCCATATTAGCACAATGATAATAATGATCCAAAAAATAATGGGTATAATACTTGACATAGATGTGAAATGTAGAGTTGTTGCAGATATTTCTTGTCTGATCTATCGCAAAGCGACAACTAACTGTGACTAAACATTTGAGGCTATTCATGTGGAAGCATCTTATATTTACAAACACAAAGTTTCTTGCAAGTGTACGCATCGATGTAAACATACATATGTCATTTACAAATTCATATTGTAAAGGGATCTAACTAATAAGCAAGAATTTTGCCCATAATTCCTTTCTTTGACATAAACTTGTACATATTTTTACCCGAGGCTATTCAAGTGAAGAGCACTGTACATGCATAGATTTACACCCCTCCTTTGCATTTCTGTACTTGATATAAATCTGCATAATTTATGATACCAAACTCTGCCGCATAGCGGTTTCCGTACACACTTTGTCCTCGTTTGACAAGTATTTCTGCGAGTAAGGCCCTTATAGTTTCGTATCTTACTACTGGCGCGTATCTTCCTTCTGCTCACCTCTTGACTATCTCTTGGTGGTCAACGTCTACCTTCTGCTCACAGACTCGTGTGACTAACCTCGTCTTATATTTACCAGTGGAATTATCTTGATTTTTCTTTAATTTGAAGACCCATTTATTGGACAAGATCTTCCCATCTAATGGCTTCGGAACAAACTCCCATGTTTCAGTTTGTATCAACGAGTCATACTGTTTGCATGGCTTCTAGTCACAATTTGTTATCGGTTTTTTTTAGCATGTTCTCTACACTCGTAGGATACTCTACCTTGTCAATATAATTTGCTGCTTCATTGCGTAATAACCTATGTTTACCTGGCTTTGAAATTTTCACCTTCCTTGGATGCAAAACTCATTTTGTTTCATTAATGATTTCCATTAACAGAACGCTAACCTCTTCATCGCCATCATCATTTTCAGTGCGAATGATTTGTTTCGGCGTGTCACAAATATTATCTGCAGCTCGAATTTCGTATAGATCACCTTTTTCTGTTCATTTGAAGTATCAATATAATAAATTTTGGAGGATCGTAATTATTGGTATTTTCTTTATTTAAATACTTAATTAATGGTACTTCAAAAAGTTTGTTTGCACTGTTTGATACATGCTATATTTTCAACAAAATGTACGTCTCTGCTCTTAATAACTGCCTTTGTACCAGGGTTGCCATAATCGGTAGGTGTTTAATTCACACGCGTATCCTTACTATTATTAAGTAGTTATTAAGTAGTTTTCTTCTGATTTAAAATTTTTCTTTATTTATTCCTTTAATTAGTGCACTTGCTTTGCTTCTAAAAATTCGCATAAACTCACATATGGCTCCCTATTGTGCTACATTTCAAACGGAGTTTTGACATTTAATACTTTTATTGACCATCTATTATGTACATATAAAAACATACGCATTTTGAACATATACATACATACTTTGCCATTTTTGCTAATATCCGATTAACTCTTTCTGCTACACCATTTTGATGTGGAGTATGAGGTACTATTAGTTGATATTTAATCTCTTGTGGGAAAAGGCTATTTTTGAGTTACGTTTGATTATTGTTCCATTTTTCATATATTTTTCGCAAGGGAAAATTAGTTTCTTTTACCAACGATCGTAGAATTTAATTTCCTTTACTATTTCTCAATAGTAGAAGGCGTGTCATAAAACAAGAATCTCCTAAGGATGAGTTCGACATCTGTTTTTAACGGTACACATATTCGATGGATCAGAACCTGGCAGAACTTTTCGTTGAGAAACTTTTCGGCATAGATTCATGACACTTCTAGTGCGGAGTTAAGGCCGCACTAGAAAGGTACTCGCGATACCTATTAGACGCTGATTGGTAATTAGAACTTTTTGCTACAGCCAATCAACGTGTAACTGTATTCAGTGGCGACCGAGCAGACTGCTGAAGCAGCAGTCTCGAGCAAGCAATTTTAGAAACAGTCATTAAGTCGTATGAAAAATACCCTCACGAGCATACCAAAGGAATTCCAGTGTTCAGGACAATACCTTGAACATAGTCGCTCTTCAACCGCCGTCGCGATCAAGTTTAAAACAGTCTAACATTCGGGTCAAGGACAGATTCTAATTTACATAAAACCACTCACTCTTCATCTTTGAAACTGTTCCGTCGCGCAGGTACGGAACGCATGGGGTCTTCGTTGACCGAGTTTATGGCACGCTCGCACGAGAAGGTTATTTTTGAGAACAAAAACGCTTCGTAACTCCGCGAAGAAATAAGTAATTTCTTACAGAACAATGCCTTTAGAATTTCGACTTTTCCGCGTCCTCAATAACCGAAGACGTGTCATGAACCAGGTATTCCTGAAGGGTCAATCCACACGTGCGTACAACGGCACTCTCGGCCGAGGGTTGACCTGGCGGGAATTTCTGACGCGTCACCAAAGGACAGCGAAGATTCCACGCACCCGCAGGTAGAGCCCCACTTCTTCCAATGGAAGGGTGAGTGACACTCAGGGGGCACGTTGATTGGTAATTTGTGCGTACGTGCGCGCGTTCTTGCACTTGGCGGGGGAGTCACCGAGGATTCCAGAAAAATTCAGAGATCGAGAAACACATTCGCAAGGATTCTCTCGTGTGAACAACACATTCTCCAGCCATTCAACGAGATACAAGTAGGAGTCGCGATCGAATACTCGAGTTTAAAACAAGTCGTCAATCGTTTTCGTGACGCACTCTAAATTTGCTAACGTTCCGAGCAAGACAAATTTTTGAACTAGTTACCCAAGATTAATTTGGCGGGTAACAGTCGTGAGCGCGAACATTTTGAATAATCAAAGGAGAACGCGACGCGACAGAAACAGTTATTCAATATTAGTTTGGTGAATAACAATCCTGAACGTGTTCACATTCGAAACGCGACAGACGTGACAATAGCCACATTCAACAACAGCCCTCTTAATTCGTAATGCAAATTTTCTAACAGCAGAAAAATAAAGTGTTTCGAGAGACCTAACGATATAGTACTTATGGGTACATAAATATGCGAATGTAACAAAGCTAATTATTCTGCAGTTCTGGTGGTAGAGCTTTATATCCTACCCGATATGTTTTGCTCATATATAGTAATATTTCTCACATTGTCGCTACTAGAACTCCCCTCGCATTGTCACCTCGCTGTTCCTACGCCTAGGCATACGTTATTCTTACATCTTCTGTTCTTTTGATGAGACTAATAACCTTTTTAATTGAAAATTTTTTAACATATTGATGAGATTTTTCTGATTAAAATGAGATCAAACCTAATATAATTTGGATCACATTTACTTATGTAATACTAATTGAGAAATTGAATAATTTTGCGCCCACCCTGCCTTCGGCCCCGGACATTTCTGACACAAGAAATTAAAAAGTCATTTTGCTCAAAAATACATAATAGAAAAGTTGTGAAAAATGAAAAGAAACATTGAAAAAATTTTTTAAACTTTTCCATAAATTTTGCTGAGCTGAAATATGTAATTTTTATCAAAATACATATGTCTTCGTTACAAGCTTTTGATAAATTACAAAAACGTGATGCCGGAAAACATTGTTCGTAAAACACGTGCCTCCACATTGTCCATAAAACCTAGTCCTTCCCTTTACATTGCGCTGTCGCGAGAGCCGTGCCACCACATTGTCCAAGCACAGCGTATGCATTCGACGAAAAATGTGAAAGCACAGTTTATGCATTCGACGGAAAATTGTGAAGGTACAACTTACATTCGACGGATAATGTGTACAGATATTTCATGTATTTTTTTAGCAATCTGTTTTTGTAATTTATTCAAAGCGATAATGAAATCGAATGAGTTACCCCATAAGTATTAATGTTGTTCAAATTATATCGCGTTTGGTCTCATTTTAATCAGAACAATCTCATCAATATGTTAATAACTTTTTCACACAGAAAAAGGTAAAAGTAAAAACTCTGGTGTTTCAATCGCTCGGTTTCCTCGATCCTCGTTCCATCCCTATCTTTTATTGTCCTTGTCTTCGTTCGACATATGTACGTGTATGTACTAGAAAGGCAGGCTACAAGGTTCGAATACCATATTTCCTCTATCCAAACTGCCGCTATTCGGTTCTGAGCAGAGCGACAATGTGAGAAACTTTATTATAGCAAACATTACAATCAAATTATGCTTCATTTGGATTGAATTCAACTATAGTATTTCTACCCTATCGTTGACCTTGAGTTTCTTCAAGTCGTTGAGATTGAAATAGCTGAAGTTCTCATAGTATCGTTGTAATTTTTTGGGGTACTTCCTTGGACGTTAAACATGCCATGCTCTTTTTATTGTTAACGAAGTATAACTGCCCTTGACGTTTAGCTATCAATGCGACTGACCCATCTGCAAGTTTCAACGCTTTTTCTTTGTGGAAAATTTGTTTCGTTTCTCAGTTTGTTTAAGGGGGGATATACACCTAGATATGTCAAAAATTTCAATTTTTTGTTTTCTACACATTTTCAATGTTTGAAAATTTGCAGAAATATCAAAAATATCAACATTTGAAGAGAAGTATGCTGACATGTTGTCAAACAGAAGAACGTGTTGCTAAGGTGAAAGCAGAAGAAAAATTAAACGAATATAATCATTCTACCCTGCAAAAAGCTACCGGCTTCAATGCAATTCGTCTAATTTAGGAAAACTTGAGAAAAAAGATTGTTACAGCGATGTGTTGGTAGTTTCAATCAAAATAATAACGAGAGCTTGAATAACTTAATTTCGCAAATAGCTCCAAAAATGTACAGCGGCAATCTGACAGTTGAAACTGTAGCTTATGTTACTGCTTGCATTTTTCATGAAGGCATGTTGTGAGAACCTAAATGTATAGACCAAGACAACGTCACCACGTATGAAAAATCTTTAATCAATTACCGATTGATCTATAGGAAAAGGGAATCACGAAAGGAAGAATTCAGTACCCCTTAATATTATGCAGTTCAGTCGTGCATAAGCCGTCTGTGCGTTATGGCTATGTGATAGAATAAAAACCAAAGATGTCAGTATAAACCATAAAGTATTCATCTTTTCCATTATTTAAGTTTCCCATTGCATCAAGGCACAACATTTTTCTGCAATTCTTAAAAGTTATGTCTACATCTGTGTGTCCAAATGCTCACAGATATGTCTACAGAGGATGAGCAGCACTGTTTATCTAAAGTCAAGCTCTAAACGCAAAATACGACAAAAAATTTGAACATTACGCAAATTGGATAAACTGTTAGTCAGAGAGTTGCATCAAGTTCCAAGGATCTATTTTATAGGCCTGGAATCGATGATTCATGGTAAGATAAAAAATTTATTGTTTGCGATAGTTCAAACCGTTTCTTGAACTTCGAATGCATTTTGTTCAAAAGCGGTGTCCGCGATTACTCAAAAACTATTGACTAATATATTATATATTAAATGTGCATTCCAATGTACACTGTAATAATACAAACTGGAGCTGTTACCCGTGAGATAGCCGGGTAAACAAAAATTACCCGGGTACATGAGATAGTTGAGACTAGACCCATCACTACCCGATTTGTTGGGTACCCGGATACTCGGTATGTTTTACCCGAGTACTTTACACATATTACTCGGGTGCCTACAATGTTTTGGGTAATTTATGTTTTTGCGATAAATAATAAAACAATGAAATAATTAATTATTTTAAATTAGATGTCTTTATTTTTGTACAGAAATACTGACAAATCTATATTTTTAGATAATAGCCTAGTGCGCTTTGAGCTAATAGTATGTCCTGCAATGGGAAATACACGTTCAGACGTAGCAGACATTGCAGGTATGTAAGTGTATTGTGTGTGTCTGTATGCGTGTGCCCGTCTGAGGTATGAAACAGTAGAACAAGATTGTTACAGGTTGCTAAGGTCGGAAAAGCGGATCGCTAGCCTCGAATCGTTTTAGAACCGCACACGGAGCAGTTGTTGTTTGTAATTTCGTGTATAATAAATTATCCTTCCAATTCAGGAGTGAGATTCAATTCAAGTGGATCAGAAAAAAGGTGATATCATACCGAAGGAAGAATATTGTGAATGATTTCTACTGAAGGGAAGCTGAGGCATACGTCCAGCAGAGCTTAATTTGGTGGTAAATCAATATTTTATAAGTTAAAGGAGGGAATTCAAGGTGAAGTGCCTGTGAAATCGCAAAAATGACAAAGTGATTTCACAGTTACGGAATTGAAAGGAAATTTGCCAACATCATGCAGGGCATTGGATGGAAGAAGAGGAACCTGTAACTGACGACAGGGAAGAAGAAGAAAGACGCCAGTGTGAATTGCAGTCTGCACGGTGGAATGAACAGCTTGCACGGCAGGAACTTGAGCTGGTAAAAAGAGAACGAGAGTTATTAACAGAACGTATTGTGTTATTAGAAAGAGAGCAGGACTGGTGAAGCGTGAATAACAATTGGGCAGTTCGTCGCAGGCGTCCAATTTTATGTAGGAGGCAAGTTTTAAGACAATCGGCGAATCATTAGCAGAATTTAACGAAGGAACGAATTTTGTTGACTGAGAGAAACAAGTGAAATATTTGGTGAGAACGTTCAATCTCGACGAACAGATGGGACGTGGTTCCACTCGAGGGCTGAGCATCGTGAGTTGAGTTTAACAGACTTGTTGGAAGCGATGAAAAATTTTTTCGATCGTCGTCCGAGGAAACTTAATAGAAAGAAAGAGTTTGAGAATCGCAAGTGGCAGCAAAGTGAGACGTTTGACAACTATTTTTATGATAAAACCATTTTGGCAAATAAAGTACCTCTAGACGATGAAGAGGAAGTATTGAGTACATCGTTGAGGGTATTCCAGGGCGGGAATTAAGAAATCAAGCTCGAATGTTACGCATCAAGGCGAAAACAGATTTATTGGCAGCATTTAAGGGGATAACTCCTTAAGCTGAAGTGAAAGGTCAGAATCGCAGGGAACATAATGGTCCAGGTGGAATAAGTAGTTTTGGGGCGTGCTCCAGACAAGAAAATAAAGTGCACATGATGGAAGTGAAGAACGAGAAAAATGTTGGTTGTGATAGAGAAGCAGTTAAATGTTACAATTGCAGTGATCGTGGGCATATCGCTACAGACTACAAAAAGCAGCAACGTGAGAAGGGAGCATGCTTCGCTTGCTTTAAAATGGGGCACCAGGCAAGAGACTGTCCGGACAATCAGAGGAATAAGAGGTCAAGAGGAGAAGACCAGGTAAGGCAACCCGAGATGTCAAACATCTACGAGGACTCAGCAACGAAGGAGGAATGTCGTGAGATTGTTGTTTTTGAAATTGATAATTCCAGTACGCGTCGGATTTTGAATTTGGATACACAATTAGACACGGGAAGTCCAATAAGTATAATTAAAGAAAGATTTGTAGGCAAAGAATCAATTCTTCCGGTTGATTCGTTTATGTTAATTTACACTGGGGTTAATAAGTGTCGCGTCGCGTTCTCCTTTGATTATTCAAAATGTTCGCGCTCACGACTGTTACCCGCCAAATTAATCTTGGGTAACTAGTTCAAAAATTTGTTTTGCTCGGAACGTTAGCAAATTTAGAGTGCGTCACGAAAACGATTGACGACTTGTTTTAAACTCGAGTATTCGATCGCGACTCCTACTTGTATCTCGTTGAATAGCTGGAGAATGTGTTGTTTACACGAGAGAATCCTTGCGAATGTGTTTCTCGATCTCTGAATTTTTCTGGAGTCCTCGGTGACTCCCCCGCCAAGTGCAAGAACGTGCGCACGTACGCACAAATTACCAATCAACGTGCCCCTTGAGTGTCACTCACCCTTCCATTGTGCTCTTAACACGCTTTTCCTTGGAAGGAGTGGGGCCCTACCTGCGGGTGCGTGAAATCTTCGCTGTCCTTCGGTGACGCGTCGGAAATTCCCGCCAGGTCAACCCTCGGCCGAGAGTGCCGTTATACGCGCGTGTGGATTGACCCTTCAGGAATACCTGGTTTATGACACGTCTTCGGTTATCGAGGACGCGGAAAAGTCGAAATTCTAAAGGCATTGTTCTGTAAGAAATTACTTATTTTTTCGCGGAGCTACGAAGCGTCTTTGTTCTCAAAAATAACCTTCTCGTGCGAGCGTGCCATAAACCCGGTCAACGAAGACCCCACGCGTTCCGTACCTGCGCGACGGAACACCAACGAACCAGCGACAATCCAGCGCCACCACTCTCGAACATACAGCTTGTTCGAAGTACAAGACGCACCATCTATGTAACGTAAATCCGGAGATTGTGGAGGTGGGTGTAATATTTTAGGACAATTATATAACGAATATTCCCGTACCATTCGAGCCTTGTGCTTTATTATTTTCACTTTTTAGTATATTTTTAGTAAATTTTACTCATTGTGTACTACGAAATTCCAGACTAAATCATTTTTCCAGGATCTCAATATTATTGTAACGACTGTTCAGATTTGCTTCATATACAATAAATGTCCTAATGTTTATGACCAGGATTGCATGTTACTGGCATTTAAATCCTCCGCGTAAACGTTAATCTTCTTAATACCCAGCGAGATTACGCGCTTAACACGCCAAAAATCTTTCGCGCCACACTTTTTCCATACCGTAAACTTAACATCAAACGGGCTGAATGCCACTTGTAAAGACAACATTGACTTTCTTAGCGCAATGTTAATTAACGAGGGCACAATTTTGCGACAACGTTCAATAATAATTACACTTCAAGTAAGAATGTTTTTGATAATATTTGATAAGTGTTTCATACACAAGATTTACGCGAGATTTTACACGGTAATAACGTAATAACAATAAAGAAATCGTTGAACGTTGATTGAAAGTTCGTTTATTGAACTCTGTGTCTATTTTATTCTTGTTCCTTTGCTACCTCTGAGATATTTACATTTCACAATTGTCGCACAATTTCGTTCTTCTTAAGGCAGAATGAATACCGAACTCGTTAAAACTTTTACAGTTTCAGATTCAAATTAGTGGCGAGGAAGCAAGAAAATATCCTAAATGTTTCGTAAAGGCCGGTTCAAAGAATGAAATATTCACGAATAACGTCGGAACTGGAACAAACTTTCGCTCTTTAGTTTGCCAGTATCGGAAATTTATAATTATTCTCATGATAATTGTTTTTAAACTGTTAATAATTAGAACGTGTGTCCAACTGCAAGATCTTATTCAACGTAGTGATAATTACTCCTCTTTGTATTAAAGGTAAGTAAGTGGCCAGGTTCGATTTAACCCTTTACACTCCTTTGTCGAGTCACACTCGACATTTTTAAATTGCCAGTTTAAATATGTATCTTATTTTGTAATATCTTTTTTTACATTTAAATAAGCAACATTACATATATTATATATGACCCCTTTTTGTAATAAAAAAAGTGCAATTATTACAGAAAAGTGTCACACACATGTAATGAAGCAATTGCTTACATTGCTTCCTATCAATCAATTGTCCTTTGAAGTAAGAAGAAGATGAAAAAAAAATTCGGAGTGCAAAGGGTTAAGAAATGAGTATTCAAGTAATACTATAATATAATTACTAATACTAATAATAGTGGTATAATTAATTTTCATTTGTTATCTGAATAACTGCAGCACATCTAATCATTCCACTATGTAGTACTTCGTACGCAGTTATTTGAACAAGTAGGTACGCTAAGAATGGACAAAATCAATTAAACATGTCGTTAAAAAAGGTTCGATGAATTTAAACGGTGTTGGGAAATCTTGAAAGATAATCCACACAGTATACTCCTAAGAGTGCAACAACATCGGAAATGATTAAAAGTGCCCATGATAAGGATCCAATTTAGAGGACCGTCGATTGAAAGTTTCTGACATTGTC